CTCTCTCTCTCTCTCTCTCTCTCTCTCTCTCTCTCTCTCTCTGTGTGTGTGTGTGTGTGTGTGTGTGTGTCTGTGTGTGTGTGTGTGTGTGTGTGCGTGTGTGCGTGTGTGTGTGGTGCTCTATCCTTTTGGCCTGTGCCTCTTGGCCTTTTAGCCAGTGGCTCTGATTCTGAATCACAGTCAGTAGACGAATCTGCACTTTTCTCCTTCTCCTCTGCATCCACATCACTCGTGTGCGTGGATGTTTTCGCACGATTGGATGCTTCTCCCCCCCTCCTCATCTCCTGGTGTGTTTTTTGCCTGCTGCACCTTTCGAGGTCGCCCTGCCCTCTCTTGCTTGGAAGCTTTGTGAGCGAAGCGCATGCATGGGTCCGGGTGCTCGTGTACTTCTTAGCATGGTCGGCTGTGATGTTCTTCGCACCATGCCGAGACTCAGCCAGATGAAGGCAAGCTAGATACTTGGAGGGTCGTGTGCACTTCCTCCAAGACTACTGCTCCGCATTGATGGCCCTGTGACGAACCACTTTCTGTTCCACGCGATTTTCTGCGTAATGACAACTTGAATGAGAGGTCCTAAGATGGGAAGGTTGGGCCAATTTCGGGAAATTGGGATCGACGGGAAAAATTGCATTGGTGTCCTCGCTTCTTGGTCGTTTAGCGTCGCTTCTGTTTGGATGGTCCCTTTTTCCTTTTTGTTGAGTCTGGGTAGCCCATGGGCTGCATGTTCGGATCGATGTGTGGAGAGTGGCTACGTCCCCCACGCCGCGGTCTGGTCATGCAGAACGCAGGCGATCCCTTCCCTCCCCTCTTCTAAGTCCTTGCAATTCCGCGTTCTTCGCGCATGCATGCACGTTATAAACTTCGGCTGTGCGATTAGATAACTCAGGGAGCGCGATCGGTGAGAATCGGCTCACGAGCAAAGTAAGAGGTGAGTTGAAGTGGGAGTCGGCCGACCCGACGAGCTGGTGCCGAATGCGCGGGGTTGACGCGTAGGGCTACGACGGACCGTAGCGGACGGGCGAACCTGAAGGGTGCAGGAGGACTAAGTGGGGTGACGACTTCGTGGGTTGGTGCGTGACGACGGACTGTCCGCGTCAGAGAGAGAGAGAGAGGGAGAGAGAGTCGAGGTTGATGGACGTGGATTTGCGCTTTCTTTGTCGTTCCTTTCTCATCTTTGTATATAAGTTTTGATCTCGGCTTCAGGCGATTCGGCCATTTTCGCTTTCGGAATCTTTATCTTGGCCTTATTCACACATGTTTTTGCGATTGATCTTGATCTCGTCTACTGTGTGTCTTGTCAAATGAATGGATTTTCCTTGGTGAATGAATGGATGATATGCTCGCCATCACTTTCCTTCCCGTTTTTGCTCATATCGAATGACGAACCAGAGAGAGTTGCGGATTTGATGTATGTGTCATCTCCATAAATATGGAATGGTTACCGATCCGGGATTTGCTGAATGATTAAGTGTGCCACGTGGCGATCTTGCATAATTCTATCTATTCATGTTTGTCGCTTCGCTTAGTCACAGGTTCTGATGTTGATGCGATGACTGATGCGAGTAATGATATCTTGCACGCTTGAGAGAATGATTGGTTGCGGGATCACTGAATGATTGGGCGGCCAAATAGTTACCCTGAACAAGTGGCGATTGTTGCATGAGGAATTAAACTCTCATTTTTTCCAGATACGAGCGAACACCTCGTGGGGATACGTGTAAGCTCGGGTCGATCTGCGCAGCCTACACGTGTCCACACGTGGCGATCGGACGGGCGGGGAATTTTCCTTCTTCACGCACCTAAGCTAGAGGGATTTCCCAACACCACATCGGGAAATTCCCCCCCCCCGCCCCCGTCAGTCAGATGCGCACGGAGGAATTCCACTACACCGCAATGACAAGATGCTGAGCTCCTGGGACTCAGAATACTTCGAGCCTTGGGTAAGGGAAAATCTTAGGCAAGGGCGCCCGGAATTTCCCTGCCTAATCGAGAACCAATTGTGCCCCAGGAAATTTCACTGTGCCATAACTAGCGATCCGAGGTACCCCGACTACGTATAACACGCAATACTTCATATCCCCCGGCTTCGTCGTTATCACTACCAATTTCTCTCCATTCCGTCTCCTCCTCCCGTATCACCAACTC